TATGAACTAATTGCCTGCTTTGTTTCCCACATTGCAGTACTTCAGATGTACCTAATTGGGTATAAAATGCTATGAAACTGTCCTGTGGCCGTGGAAGTTGCAAAATAAGTAACAATGAGCATTTTCTTTTCTAACAGTTACGAGTGGTGCTGTTGAACTGGTGTGCTTGGTTTCTTCGGATGAAGAAGCCGGGAGATGGAAAGGGCAGCGTGCCGTGCAGGTATAATCAGCAACAACAAAGCTTCAGCTCCACAATAGCTTAAAAACATTTTATTAAATGCACAATTTCTGCAGAATAGTAATTGACTATAACTAGTAAAATAGTGCTAATGCAGATTCTGGTGTTGATGTGGAGGGTTTAAGGGTTGTGCCTGATGATAGAAGAGACTGTTGATGTGGAGTGGGGGCAGATGGTTCAATTAAATATTTTGTAATGTTTTGCTATGATAAAGGCCTAGTAGTTAATAGTTTGCATTTCCTGAGCATGCTGCTGTTCTTCCTTTTTCTGTACATCCTCTTATTTCTCCCCAGCTGGCTATAATGGTTGTCCCCCATGCAGAGAAAATTAATGGAGCATGCAATAAATAACAATGAATCCAAGTGTCTCTCAGAGTTATATACCAGAAAGCCTCGCCACCCACCTAGGTAGTGAAACTTCAGTTTGTGAATATCAATCTTTTGTTCAGATAGGGCCATGGGTCTGATTATATTTTCTCCTTTACATCTATGATCAAGTTCCATTAGTTAAGTCTTGTCTCTAAACAGCCAGTAGAGAATAAGATTAATTGCACCCTTCCTCTAATAACAGTTACTGAGCCTGTGGGTAACAAGCTATGTCATTATGACATACAATTGCATGGGAATGGGACCTGAGGTACCTAGGGCTCCATAGATATCTTCTCTTACCATCCCTTATATGCAGTCATAATTAATAAGGGTTGTTAATTTTCACTTTTAATCTAATTTGATCAATGCATGATTAATTATGGATAAAAACAAACTTGCACATTTTTTCTGTTAAAGACGGAACCTTTGAATTGAAATGTCTGTAGAAACATAGAAACACAGAAGATAGGAGCAGGAGGAGGCCATTCAGCCCTTCGAGCCTGCTGCGCCATTCTTCACGATCATGGCTGATGGTCCAACTCAATAGCTTAATTCTGCTTTCTCCCCATAGCCTTTGATCCCATTCACCCCAATTTATACACTGAACGTGGACTGCAACTTATACATGGATTCAGTATCACTGTATATATACTTAAACAAAGCCTCATCTTGTACATTGGTGTGAATGATCACTTCTCACATTGAACAAAAGGAATCAGTGTATAATTTGTTAAGCCTCCCATAATATTCCATGCAGTGCAGCTCATCCTACATTTTTAATAAAGAGTTTCTCTCCATGGAATATTGTTTTAAGTGAGCCATATCCTACATACTACATCTTACCAGTGATAGTTAGTCCCAGTTGGTCTTAACAACTGCATAAAACTCCCGAGTTGCTCCAACATAAGCATCACATACAAATTACAGGTTCTTCTCGTGAAAAACCCACTGCTGGTCACGACTACCTCCAGTGAAAGGATCTCTTAAATATTTATTGTTTTAAATGTATAAATGTATAAAATATATAAATTTGGTGACTTGTTCAATATAAATTCCTCAACCAATTGCACTAGAAAGAGTAACAAAAATGTAAGTTGCTGGTAAAACTCAGCAGATCTGGCAGTATATGTGAAGAAAAATCCGAGTTAACATTTTAGGTCCAGTGACCGTTTCTCACCAGACCCGAAACATTAACTCTGATTCTTCTTCACAGATGCTGCCAGACCTGCTGAGGTTTTCCAGCAACTTCTGTTTTTGTTCCTGATTTACAGCATCCACAGTTCTTTTGGCTTTTATTTAGATATCGTTTAAAGTCTGGCATCCTGGCACCCATACCAACTGTAAAAGATCACTGTGCACCTTGATAAACTTTGGCAATCTGGCACTGTCCCTCACCACACAGTAGCCACAAAGCCATGTTATTCACAGGCACGTAATCAGCAAGGCTAACAGTCCCTCTTATATATAACACCATTCTCTCACCCTCGTCACTGTGTATACACCATGCCAAACAGTTTACCTGTCGTAGCTACATCCCATCTAAACATCTTTGTAAGTCATTGCTACTGTGCCCCAATGCACACCTCAGACACACATCTTGTCATCGTACAGTAGGGGAACATCAAATACGGGCCAGTAATTGGACTATTACAAACGTGATCTTTTATTTGCAGCCAGCAAAAAAAAACAAAACCAATTGAGGCTGCAGTTTGCCCCTCCAAAAAAAAAAAGGCTGGCATTATGACCAATGAATATTTTACATTCCATGGTGGTCTTCTGCAGCCAGCTCTCATCTACTGGCACCGGGTATCAGTCAGGCCCGGCCTGACTTGTAGCACCCGAAGCAGATGAACTCCGTCATGTACAAAGTAAACTTCCTCCTCCCTATTGCCCTCATCCTCCTGTTCAAAAGACTGCTCCCATTCCCTCCAGTTCCTCAATATCCAGCACATCGCCTTGTTGCCTTCTCCAATTGTGCAGAGACAGCATACCTAGATCATGCAGGATGCTCTGTAGTATAGTGGAGGGAATGCAGACCTGATATATCCTGAACGGTCCTGTAGTTGTGACCTCTCCCTGATCTTGGAGATCCTCAGCCACCATGACAGCCTGCAGCTGCTTCTGGGCATGTCATCAGCTCTGATCATCCCGCGTCCACCTTCACCTTCTTAGGTAGGCAGCCACAGAAACTAACATGCAACCAGCAGCTTGGACACATGCCTCTCACTAGCAATCACCATGGTGGGAATGTAAAGAGCTAACCAGCTCTGATAACCATCAGTGGTGAATACTCTATAGATAAGACTTGCATACACTCCTCCATACAGTGAGACATGCAGCTCCCTGGTAATGAGAGTTGTGTCTCCATTATTCATTCAGCTTCAGGCTCAGCATATACAGGAAATTGGTGAAGGTGTTGTGCCAGCTGAGTGGCCAACATATTTCATTAAAAAGGAAGGGCATCCTGTGCTCTGACCCCCTTCCTATCCCAAACCCACATCAACCATGAAGCATGTCTTGCATACGATGGAGTCCATTGTAATACATGAGCGATAATGAAGCAACCATCTCCATCTCCGACAACACCCTTCAATGTTTCATACATTATGGGTTAGTTTTGATCAGCATTATCCTCTTCTTAAGTTATTGTCATTAATTTCTGCATTAATTCAGACACCAGTGTACAATTTACAAGGACCAATGCATGAGGCAAATCATCTTCGATCAGCATTTGAACCTTAAGAATGTTCCCTCTGCATACATTGCAAGTGGACAATGAAAATATTGTGATTCGAATGTAGCTGTATTTTGCAAGTTCAAGCTTCATGTATTTGCTCCTCCAATAGCCTGACGTCCAGCAGACAGTGATCCCAGAATTTGTTCTATAAAAAATGACAATTAGCCCACCCACACTGGCATTGTCTCAGCCATTTTCCAGATACATTAAACATCAAGTGAATGACAAGTGATGGCAGGGAACACAGTTTGCAGTAGGGACTGTCAGCATCAGGCTCTGCATGGTTGCCAGAAATCCTGTCCCCTCCTCCCAGAGCCAACTTGTCTCCTTTTACGTTGCGTTGCCCAATCAGCCCATTTCCACTCACTCCCAGCACATTGAACTTCACCTCCAACTGTCTACCATACTCCCAAAGCCCTAACATTACCCCACCCCTGGTCATCTATATTCCCCTTGTGGAGGCCATGGTGCCTCCACTGTCAATAGTCCCCCACCCCATCTTGAGCTTTGACTGTCCAACTCACTTTTGGCATTGAGCATCCCCCTTGCCCATTTTAGTCCCCCTTTCTCCTTTTGCAACCATCAATGCATGGCCCTCTTGTACCCTCTGACGTTAAACCTCTGATTGACTTTGACAAGTTATCCCCAAAAATGATTGACCAGTCCTTTGACCATTGACTTTGTAGCTCCCCAGCAGTTGATATGTGATTCCCGTGTGATGTCCCAATAAGGCCAACCATTCCTTACTTCCTGGACTATAGTCATGGACCCTGACCATGCCTCGTCCAAATGACTTTGGCCAAACCCCTGGACTGAGACCAATACCGATAGTACTTGTAACTGCTCATCGGCATCAACACCCACCCAGCCCTTCCCCACCTTTACTGGGCTGAGGACTGGGCCCTACCCAATTTCCACATGGTGAAGTGGTTGAATGAACATGCAGTGTGTTTGCCACATAGACAGCAAGCATGTTTTGTAGGTGTTAGATTGACCTTTCACAACAATACATCCCACCCTAGGACAAATCCTTACTGGCAAGCAGCCTGTTTGTGTGTCTGCACAAAAGAGCTTATCAATACAGCAGTACTGATAACTCGAAGCCTCTGGTCAAAGCAATAACAAGCATGGCATGGATACAGCAGGCATGCAGGCAGGTGGAACATGAGTGCGTGCAAGCATAGCAAGTGAGCAGCCCTGAGATGCAGCTTGGTCCATTTCTGGAGCTGAGTGCCTAATATTACATGCAATGTGTCCTTGCATTAGCCTTTCAATGCTAGTTGCTGGTGTGCTCTGCAACATAGGCCTACACATCGGTATTAGCCTAGCCTTCTCGATTACTAATGCAGTAGCATTACGAATCTGACACCACCTCCCTTAAGTGGGGTTGCTAATTTAGGTTGAAATTAATAGCACTTCACAGCACTTTGGATTGAAGAGATATAAACGATTTACCTATAATGTTGTCTAAATCTAGAATGTGTATCAGATGTTTGAGTGGTATCAAAATGGTACAGAAACAGCCCAATTGGTCTATGCTAGTGTTAATTTTCTGTATTAGTCTCCTCCTAGCTGGCATTGCATAACTTTATCAGAATTGATTGATCAATGTTTTCCTTCTTAGAGGTTTGGGAAATGCAGAAACACAAATACTTACTTTCCATATAATACTATGTCAGGCAGCCAGATTGATTCAGACGGAACTCGGATGGTGTGGATGCCTCCATAATCATCTGGATTCCAGCTTAGTTTGTAGTCATTCCACTCCTACAATAGAGAAGGGCAATCATGTTAATACATGATTAATTATCTTTTAAATATAGATAATACCATATTCATTATGTCAGCTGATAGACAAATATGCTGAAGCAATTCTGCAGAATAACAATAGGAATGAACTGTGTCAGTGAATTAGACTAACTCCCCATTAGTCGCCATGTTAACATGATGCTCAGGGAGGCCATGAAATGATCCTACTTGTTTAACCAAACATTCATAGCCATTAGTTGATTCTTTTCAGATAGCAGATATCTACTAAATACCAACAGGTAGAGCAATGTTGTTCACTTTCCTTTAATAAAAGTAATCATTCTGTGTTCGAAGGTAAGTCTGAGGGATAGTGCAGCACAATCCATCACAACATGATAAGATATAAATCGGCCCATGCTATCTTTTCTGTACAGCATAATACTCTGATGTTGCTTGCACTTGTATAAAATCTTTTCATGAATAATTTGAATATAATTGTTCACCTTTAATTGTTTAGATGAACTGTGATACCATAAAATAGTGTAGAAAGATATTATAACTTAGAGTTATCTTTGATTTTGTGTTTATGATTTCAAATGTGACAGGAATAGTTGTAAAATGAAGGTCAACTACTTCCCTGTGAGAATGGGAAAAGCTATTAAATTTACTGGTCTTTTAATTACCGTAGAGGCATTCCACTTGAGTTATGGATCCTGTGATAGCTTTCATTGTCAATTACACATGCTGAATTCCTTTCATTGAATGGCAACGCGAGGAGAACATACAACATTAATTCTAAGCATTGCTAACCTCCATGGACAACTAGCCTGCAAGTACAGGTGAGGAGGCATGTAGTGAAACAGATCCACCAATGACTACAAGGGAATAGCTGAGTGGAAGGATTATTACTGTGCACCTAATGTTTCATTACATTGAAAGTAGTATCTAGAATATTTGCTTTACCTGTTATCATTTGCAGTGTAACAGAGGTTCTTAATTCTGCACACTAACAATAGGAATGAACTACATCAGTGAATCATACCTAATTTGCCATTAGTTACCATGTTAACACGATGCTCACGAAAGCCATGAAATGATCTTCTTACCTGCTTTAACCAAACATTCGTAGCCATTAGTTGATTCTTTTCATCCTGCAACAAAAGACACACTGGTGGATGCAGTACAAAACCAGACGCTACTTTTAGAAGGTAAAATGGTATTTGAGCAAAAGATCTAAAGTTGTGTCATACCTAGTAAAGGTATGAATACGTTTTATATGATATTTTCTTTAAACAATGGACACAACAATGATTAAGATGGCGAGAAACATATGTGAATTTCTCAATATCAACTCCAGACATGTGTTCCTAATCAATTACCTGATTAAAATGTGGATAATCACACCTAACCATGTGCAAGTTCTCAAATCCCTTTGTTAAGGATGAACTGTGAACAGAATAAGAACTGGGGAGGCAATAGTGCGGTGTTAAAGTCACTGAAGTAGTAACGCCAAAGGCCAGGCAAATTTTCTAAAAGCACTGGTTTGGCCTACATGTGACTCCAGACCCAGAGCAATGTGATGGACTCTTAATTAACCTCTGAAGGCCCAGAGAATCAATCAGTGCAAGGGGAATGAGGGCTGGGCAGCGAGTGCTGGCCTTGTCAACGATGCCCACATCCCATACAAAAATAAACAGAAAAGGAACTACCACTCACCAGCTGACTCATCACTCTACTCCACCTGGGGCCATGAAGACCCTGAGATTCAATGGCCCCAGTTTTTGCTTCTGACTACAGAGTCAGGATATATTCTTGCTTTGAGAACCAGACCAAGCAAAAAGTAGCCCAGAAGGTGGGATTTTTGTTCCAGGGTGGCAGGGCTCCCTGGGAGGTGAACTGGGTGACAGTCAAACAAAAGTAGAAGCTGTCAGATGTGGAGGCACACTGCAGAGAAGACTACTTAAGTGTTCTGGCAGTGTTTGAAGCTTACATGCCTACCACCTGCACACTCCTCATGTGCCTTCCATGCTGCATCACACCCTCTATGCCAACCTATGCCACTCTGTCATTATGCAATGGATTTTTATGTCTCCACCTGTCAACCTATGCCTCCCAACCACCTAGCTTGGCCCTTCATGATCTCCATCCTAACCTATACTCCTCTGTCTTCCCCCGGCTCTTCACATGCTGCAACTGTCCCAGACCCATCGTGCATAATTGCCCCTATTCTATCTTCGTGCAACTCGTGCCTACACATGCCATGCCACCACATCCATCACTCTTTGATTTTACACCTACCATGCCAACCCATCTATTTTCCACCATGGACTCATGGAGAGATAAAATAAAGTTTGATTAAAGTGCTAAAAGTGCATTGCAAACTTCTCTCTATTGACAAAGCACCCTCATTAATAAATAATTAATTTACACTCTTTCAACTAAGTTATGCCTGAATACAAAAACATTTCATTCAAGTGCACAATCATTACAATACCAAACATTGAAACATCTATAACTCCTTATAACTATAAAACAAATTTTGCAATGGTAGGTGCTGTACTGTGATAACTATATCAGTCATGCAACCTGATTCCAATAATGGACACTGACCAATCATCAACATCCCAGAGAGTGCCTTATAGGAAGCAAACATACATTCTTCCTACTCTCCAGGTCTCTGCTGACAAAGCAGGGTCTAATTTTCCTCTGCTCAAAATATCTTGGACAATTGTCAGGAACCATGCAGGGCAGTTACAGATGGACAGCACTTGACTAAATGTGTGGCTGGGTTTTAAAGATGGTGCACCAAGAAACCTGTAAGGTCCTGGTAGTGGTCAATACGGCAAGTAGAAGAATACCAAAAAGCCTATCTGCTATTCTTATCAAATACTAGCTACTAATGCCATGTATTAGAGGAGAGAATGTTTCCATTGTTTTCACAGTGATAAGGAAATGCTAACTGGAGGATTTGGCTCTGATCTTTTTGTCATTTCTTCATGGGATGTGGACATCACAGACCTGATGAGCATCAAATGCCCACCTCAAGGTGCCCATGAAAAGGTTATGGTTAGCTGCCTTTTTGAACCGCTGAAGTCCATGTATTGTAAGTACACCTACAATTTGGTTAAGGAGGGAATTCCAGGACTTTGACTCAGCTTTAGGAAACAGTTTACTAACCAGCAGGAGTTGAAGTATGCAAACTATTATAGATGGAGCCAATGGACCCATTAGAGATCTTTATAATAACTTCAGTGCCTAACATGAACATATAGTGGCCACTTGGTAGACATCTCCGGTGTTGGTGAAAACTGTCATCTCAGCTCATTTCAAATGTTCCAAAAAATAAAACTGTAAGTTACCAAACTGACTAGATGCCTGTTCCAGGACATAGTGGGTGGACTGTTGCTTGGGCAAAAGGAGTGTTTGATGCAACATGCTGTAAAGTGCCAGAGAGCGCAATGCCATGTTATCCTTTACACTCACATTTGAAGAATTTATAACAGGAGGAAAGGCCACACAGTCACAATGTATCCTCAAGACATTGCCTTAAAAGAGCTAAGAACTTAAGGCACTTTGAATGGAATGCAATTGCTTAGCAAGAGTAACTCCAGGGGAAAAGAAAAATAAAAGTAATGGGAAATGTGTCACAAAAAGGATACATCCTGGATGGTGGCACTATGTTTCCAAATTCAGCCTTACCAATGTTTCCAGTATCTTTTTATGGGTAAATTGCAATAATTACATCACATGGCACGAGATTATTCTGATTTTCAGGGCCCTTGACTCATGTGGTCTTCTATTGATGGCCTTCAGCAGAACAGTAAAGAGAATTAGGGAAACTCACACTAGAAATTAAATCTTGTTTGGTGCATGGGTCCAGAAGGAAAGGGCAGCAAGTATGTGAGAGTTTACTTGTCCTTGTATTCCACTGCACATCTGAAAGCCTCCTCCAAATATTATTTGTGCCCTCTAGATACTCAAGACCATGTTGGACTGCTCTGTCATTGCCTTATATGTAGTTTTAGCCTCTGGACTGTTCAGAAGGCTGGCTTTCTGCTTTGAAAGGTAACCAAGATCCTTTGCTGCAATGTCTACGTCATTCTCAGAACTCTTCTTTCTGACAACTACTGATGATTCTGACAGAATAAGAGTCTTCATCCAAGTTCCAACATCATCCCTTAAAATGGCTGGACTTTGACAAATAATTAGACATGGGTAGGTCCTGTTGTCAGTACCAAGTATCCCTTCCCCTGACCTAGCGGTTCTGGGTTCAAGATGCTCCACAGAACTTGAAGGCAAAGGAACATGTACATTACATTCAAACCCTTCCAACCTGCACCATTGGCTTGTAGTAGGGGCAGAAGATATTCCTGGTCAGCCACAAGATAGAAAGAACATTGAAGATTCAAGCATCATCATGTAAAGTTCCAGACTACAACTTGCATGTAAGAAAAAGCATGTTTCCACAGCAATCCAGCTTCAATCCATGAAGTGTAACACCACCAGCAATTTTTTGTCTGACGGTCTGATTCTCTGTGCATGTTGTCTATATATGAGCAACAGGAAATTGCAAATAATTGACTCAACCACAGTCTAACCTGGATACACCTGTATAATGGGTGTGCAGTTTCCCTGGATTGCAAAATTGAGGCTAATGTATATGTTCTGTATTACATGGTCCTCTGCGACTATGGTGATTTTACCTTTTATTTTACAATGGATAATCTTTCAAACATTGTGAGGAAATTACATTGATACAGCCATGCGTTAATTGACAGTTTGCTGTTAATTTTGATCATGTTACAAATTCAGAATCATCGCCACTTATCAGTCACACTTGACCTAGAGCATAATTTTCTCACTAAAGTCAATGTGATACAAGTACTTGTTTAAAAAAAAACTTGAGTTTCAGTTAAAATGAGAAAATGCCATTTCTCTGAAAATGTCACTTCATTGACTGACTTACCACATCCACCAGTTGGGAGATTTCCAGTCCAAACTTTACTTTTATTGTATCACTGATATTTCTAACTGGTCTCACCCATTTCTGGTATCCTCGAAACAGGTTTTTCAGCAGGGTGTCCTCTATCTCTGCTAGCAATTTAATTGTTCTGGCAGCTGGAATACAGCAAGTTAAAGAAAGAATTAAATGTTAAACTAATAGATTGAAAAACTTTGTTGAACAAATGAGACATTCAACAAAAGGAAATAAATGTTTACACAATGAAATTGCACATTTCCCTTGTATAGAGGTCTAATAAAAGTGCAGATACAAGATTTGCTAGGTCTCGGTGCCCTTTATCCTGACCATTGGATTTCTGGGAACAGAGTGGGGTAGAACAAAAATGCTCCAATGGTTTAGAATCAAACATATTGTTGAGACAATGAAGTGCGTAGTAACGATTTTCAACACTCTGCACCTCCCTTCCCTATCCTCCAAGGATGATCCCGCAGATCTGCAATCTTTTGCGTGACACTTTCAGAACAAAACTAACTCCCATGACATGTTTCTGGTTGTGATCATTGGAAAAAAATATTTGGCGTCATGTTCGCTGAGCTGTGGATTCATAGTTGATTGCTCTGCTCGATCAATGCAGATGAATATCAGTCTCTACTGTAAAGGAGATATGTGTTTGTGGTTATTCATTCTTCTTATTAGTTCCAAAAATAACTTCTTGCCTTCATTTTCACTTAAGTCTCAATATTACTATTTCTCAAAATTTCTTCTTACAATTTGTGTGAGAAGCGATGACAACTTCTGAAATGTTATCTTAAAGTGTAAAAGATTCCTGTAATGATTGCAGTAAATTGAAAATGCAAAACAATTTGACTTTTAATTCATTTTGTCTCCCTTAAAGTGTATTTTAAAATATGGATAATCCTTAGGACAAAATACAATGATTGAAGATTAGGGCAGCTCCAAAACAACATGAATAATTTTATTAAGTTTTATTCCAGTATGGCAAGGCTCCTTGTTGACATTTAGATGTGGTAGAATTACCCCTTAAAGGACTGAAATAAAATTATGATGACATTAATCAAAACTGAAGCTATTTCTCATTAAACTTAATGACACAGAGGGAAGTATTCTTTGAAAGCATCATCATATTTAATCCTCCTTCCCCATTTGTATCCTGGATTCCTCAATATATTTTGAAAACCTTGCATTATCTGAATTCAACTCCATCTGACAATCCTCGGCTCACTGGCTCAGATAACTTTCTTCACTGTACGCTCTACCACCACTTTTGACGTTATCTGCAAACTTACTAACCATGCCTCCTATATTCTCATCCAAATCATTAAGATAAATGACAAAAAAGTGTATCCAGCACTAATCCTTGCAGTACACTGCTGGTCACAGGCCTCCAGTCTGAAAAACAACCCTCCACCACCATGATAGCAAGAACTTCAGATGCTGGAGTCAGAGATAACAAAGTGTGGAGCAAAGTTAGGATCACCAGTCTGTAGTTCCCTAGCTTTTCCTTGCAGCCTTTCTGAATTAATGACACAACATAAGCCATCCTCCAGTTTTTGGCATCTCACCCATGGGTATTAATGATACAATTATCTCTGCTTGTGGCCCCACAAATTCCTCTCTAGCCTCCCCAATGTCCTGGAAGTACACTTGATCAGGTCCTGGGGTTTAGCTACCATGATGGGTTTTAAGACCTCCAGCACCTTCTCTTCTGCAATGTGCTCTCTTTTCAAGACATCACGATTTATTTCCCTGAGTTCCGTAGCTTCCATGTCATTCTCCATGGTAAGTACTGATGAGAAATATTCATTTGGAATCCTACCGATCTCCTGTGGCTCCACACATAGACAACATCGTTGATCTTTAAGGGACCATATTCCCTCCCTAGTTACTCTTTTGCTCTTTACAGAATGTCTTTCTATTCTCCTTTATCCTATCTGCCAAAGCTATCTCATGTCCCCTTTTTGTCCTCCTGAATTCCGTCTTAAGTATTCCTACACTTCCCTAAACTCTAGGGATTCACCTAATCCCAGCTACCTATACCTGATATATGCCTCCTTCTTTTCCTTAATCAAAGCCTCAATATCTTTAGTCATCCAATATGCCCTACTCCTGCCAGGCTTGCACTTTACACTAACAGAAACATGCCAGCCCTGAACTCTTGTAATCTCACTTTGAAAGCCTCCCAATTGCCAGATATCCCTTTACCTGCGAACAGCTTCCCTAATCAATTTATGAAAGTTCCTGTCTAATTCAAAATTGGCCTTGCCACAATTTAGAACTTTAATTTGATTGAGTGAGAACTTGTTCCTGAACACACTTAACAAATTCTTCCCCTTCCAAGCCCTTATCACTATGGCAGTCTCACGTCTATGTTTGAAAAGTTAAAATCCCCTATATTACAATCCTACTATTCTTACAGGTATCTGATCTACCTACATATTTGGTCCTCAATTTCACACTAACCATCAAAGTGATCACCCACTTCTTATTTCTCAGATCCACCCATATAGCCTCACTGGATGATCCCTCAGGAATATCCTGAGTGCTGCCGTGATATTTTCCCTAATCATAAATGACATTCCCCCTTCTCTCTTGTCTCCCCTTCTATCCTTCCTGTAGCATCTGTACTCTTGAACATTGAATTGCTATTCCTGTCCCTCCCTCAGCTATATTTCTGTAATAGCAAGATATCCCAGTCCCATGTTCCCACCCATGCCCTGAGTTCATCTGCCTTACCTGTCAGGTCTCTTGCATTGAAATAAATGCAATTTAATTCATCAGTCTTCCCTTGTTCCCTGCTGTGCTTTTGCCTGCCTGGTCTATTTGCTGTCTTTAACTTCTGTACCAGCCTTAACCTTCTGTCTTGTCTCAGTACTGTTTAGGGTCCCATCCCCTTGTCAGACTAGTTTAAACCCTCCTGAGCAGCTCCAGCAAATCTCCTGCTGGAATATTACTCCGCCTCTAGTTCAGGTGCAAACCATCCCTCTTGTAAAGATCACTGATGTCCCAGAAGAGACCCTAATGATCCAAAAATCTGAATCCCTGCCCTCTGCACTAGCTCCTCAGCCACACATTCATCTGCCCTATCTTCTTATTTCCTAATCTCACTAGCACATGGCATCGGGAGTAATCTAGAGATTACTAAGCTTGAAGTCCTGCTTTTGAACCTCCTGCCTAACACCCTTTATTCACTCTGCAGAACCTCATCCTTTTTTCTATCTACGTTGTTGGTACCAATGTGTACAACAACCTCCAGCTGCTTACACTCCTCTTTGAGAATTTGCTGCAATTGCTACGAGATGTCCTTGACCCTGGCACCAGGGAGGCAACACACCATCCTGGAGTCTCTTTTGCAGCCATAGAAATGCCTGTCTGAGCCCTGACTGGCCAGTCCCCTATCACAGTTACTCACTTGAACTTTGCCATTCCCTGCTTTACAGCAGAGACAGTCGTGGTGTCACAGACCTGGCTGCTGCTGCTATTTTCCCCTGACAGGCTACTCCCCCCAAAATGGTGCAATTTGGTTGAGAGGGGAATAGCCATGGGAAACTCCTGTATGAAATAACAAGGTGTAGAGCTGGATGAACACAGCAGGCCAGGCAGCATCAGAGGTGCAGGAAAGCTGACGTTTCGGGTCTGGATCCTTCTTCAGAAATGGGGGAGGGGAAGGGGGCTATGAAATAAATACAGAAAGGCAGGAGGCGATGATAGAAGGTGGATAGAGGAGCAGATAGGTGGAGAGAAGATGGACAGGTCAAGGAGGCGGGGATGAAGCCAGTATGGGTGAGTGTAGGTGGGGAGTTGGGATGGGGGTTGGTCAGTGAGGAGGGAGGAGTGGGTAGGTGGGAGGGAAGATGGACAGATCAAGGAGGCGGGGACGAGCTAGGCTGTGGTTTTAGGATGAGGTCGAGGGTGAGGAGAGTTTGAAGCTTGTAAAGTCCACATTGAGACTATTGGGCTGCAGGGTTCCCAAGCAAAATATGAGGTGCTGTTCCTCCAGCCTTCGGGTGGCATCGTTGAGGCACTGGAGGAGGCCCCAGGATGGACATGTCGTCCAAGGAGTGGGAGGGGGAGTTGAAGTGGTTTGCAACTGGGAGGTGATGCCACCCGAAGGCTGGAGGAACAGCACCTCATATTCCGCCTGGGAACTCTGCAGCCCAATGGTCTCAATGTGGACTTTACAAGCTTCAAAATCTCCCCAACCCCGACCTCAGCCCAAGACCAGCCCATCTCGTCCCTGCCTCATTGACCTGTCCATCTTTTCTCCCACTTATCCGCTCCTCCCACCTCACTGACCAACCCCCACCCCCACTTCCTACCCACTAGCCTCATCCCCGCCTCCTTGACCTGTCCGTCTTCCCTCCCACCTACCTGCCCCTCCCTCCTCACTCATCAATCCCCATCCCAACTCCCTACCTACACTCACCTTTACTGGCTTCATCCCACCTCCGTGACCTGTCCGTCTTCTCTCCGTCTATCTGCTCCTCTATCCACCTTCTATCATCGTCTCCCCCTCTCTCTATTCATTTCAGAGCCCCCTTCCCCTCTCCCATTTCTGAAGAAGGGTCCAGACCCAAAACGTCAGTTTTCCTGCTCCTCTGATGCTGCCTGTCCTGCTGTGTTCATCCAGCTCCACACCTTGTTATCTCAGACTCCAGCATCGGCAGCTCCTACTATCTCTAAGACTCCTGTATGACTTGTCTACCTCTAATGGTGGTCACTCATTTATCTTATTCAACCTGCCATGTGTCCACTTCCCCAAAGCTACCATCTATCACACCCTTTGCTTCCTGAATGCTCCTCAGATGTGTCTAACTGCCACTCTAACCAACCCACGAGGTCTGAGAGGAGCCATAGCTGGACATACTTCCTGCAGACATAGTCACCGGGAACACTGGACTGCTCCCTGATTTCCCATGTCTGACAGGATGAGCATACCACTCTACTCACTGCCATCTCTGCCACTTTAACAATTAGTGGACTTGGGAAGAAAAATAAAGTTTTACGTTGTTGCTGCTCGTCCTCTTTAACAAAGCTCAGTATTCACCTAAACCCACACTTAGACCTACCAGCAGCACTCCAAGCCCAAAGCAGCCCCTCTCAAAAATGGCTGCTCCAAAAATGGCTGCTCTACTAG